TTGGGGAAAACGCACCTCTAGAATGTTAGTGTCTTCCATTTAAATCTGATCCTTCCTCTTTGCCAGTCAGACAATAAAGGTCAAGCCACTACAGTTGCTTGCTGAATCATCCTCTGCTGGAAAGTTTTCAAAATTTGAAGTGAAAAAAAGGGAGAAAATAAAAATCATTTGTCATAATTTCCCCTGTCGGACAGATTTGCCTCTGCGGCCAAAAGTGGGCAAAAGTTCAAACGTGGTGTTCAGCGGGCTGGGAGTGACGTTCTCACCAAGCAGGGACAACTCAAAGTGTTTGAGGTGGTCTCTCTGTTGGAATTCTGAATCCAGGAGTGAAATGGCCTGTCAGTGTGATGTATGATGTAGAGGGGACAGAGGGCTGGCATCCTGGACTTGATAGCATCTACCAGACAGGCAGGAAGCACACATGCACATGAAGTCTTTTACTGTCTCACACATCTGCATGATATACTTGCATGAAGAATGTGTCATTAAGAGGCAAATAATAATGCTACAAATGAAAGGTCCAGTGTGTAACTTTTAAGAAAGGTCTATCAGTATAATTTAAATATAATATTCATAGCTAGGTTTTCACTAGTGTATAATCACCTGAAAATAAGAATTGTGTTTTCGTTTCCGTAAGTTTTAAGGCGACGGTAGTTTCTCCTTCACACTTGGATTGGAGGGTGAGGTGAGCGGGTTGTAATTTGCTACTACATTGCTAAATGGCACTAAATCCTACACAATGGTCCTTTAAAGGGGAACTTGGCAACTCTAGCCATATTCTCGCTGGTTTTCATTTTTTCAGTTCAGGCCATGTTTTTCACGAGCCTCCCCCTAAGTCTAGGACGTTTATTTCACAACAGTTTCGTAAACAACTCACTTGCGGCACCTCCTCCCCTTTCTACGCTGCTGATGTGCGCCTTTTTATCGGCGGGCAACTTTTTTTCATTGGGGAGCAATATCTCACCGGGTGGGTTAATACATTAACCACTAACCGTTATTGGAGGGCGGCGTGTGCGTTTAATGTGGAATTGCGTAAGAAGCCGTTCAATGTTCTCGCTCGTTCTCGCTTTCGTTCTCGCGGTCTGTCGCGGTACTCTCGATTTCCATTTACCGGGACGGTAGTCCCAAAGTTGCCACGGTTGGTTTTCGCCCCTGGGGTCGCATAGGGGTCGCCAGAGCGGGGGTGGGGGGGTCACATTTCGTCACGGAACGGCCATTGATGGGGGGCCGCGGCGCGGCAGTAACCATGCAAATGATTTGGCTAAAGGGGTTTATTAAGCTGAGAAAGTTGCAAGTTCCTTTAAGTTAAGCTCCTAGAAGTAATGAGGATAGTAATACCTTCTGCTGATCGTATTGACTTGTGAATGACTGAAAGCACGTCACCCACAGTCATGTGTGACCCTAAAATTAAAACCAAAGGGCAAAGGACTTTATCAAGAGATAAAAGGTTTCATGATCAGTCGCTTTCACATTGGTGATGTACTGTATAGTTCTCTTGTCTATAATATTTTTTCTTGTAATCATTCTCCAGAGACCAGACGTAAGGAGAATGCTGCGCTGGAATCAAAATGTGGCTGTGCTATAAGGTCAAGTCACATCATCTTTGCTCATAATTGAAAGTTAACCACATCACTCTCCACCTCACCCACCTCTCTCACTCTCATTACACCCACCCCCCTCTCCATCCTGCCCAACCCCACCCCCAAAACTCTCCCACACCCCTTTGCCCCCGCCCCTTGCCTTGCCACTGCCTCTCTGCATTGATGCTAATAATTACCACTGAATGGATCTGCAGATTCCCATGGATGTCAGTGGAGCCTTTGGCCTGTTCTGTCGCTTCCCTCCTCCTCCTCCTCATCCTCTCCTGTTTCCCTGAGACTCCCCCTACCCCTTCTCAATGGGGATTAAGAGAGAGGGAGCGAGGCGAGGGATGGAGAGGGTGAGAGAGGGTGCTTTGCCAAACTAAGGGATGGTTTCCCATGCAACTGCCTCATCTATGTCACCTTGCCAATCAAGGCTGTCACCATGAATAAACCAGAAACACTGCTTCATGTTTTATGACTTTTGGGAAGTACATAACCTTAATGTCACTATCAATTTGCTGTTTGTGTATTGATAAAGTTCTTACTTGGGTAAATTTGGCCGTAATAAACTCAAGGTAAATCCCATGACACATTAGAAAGTGAAAACCTGTAGGAAAATAGTTTACATCTATAAAGAACAATTGTGGAAAATACAGAGAAAAGGGAAAGTAGTGGATTCCCACCATTTCTCCTGTGCAAGCAGAGCTGAGTGGATCGACGTCATGGTCACTGGGAGCCCACGCACCCTCAGCATGCCAGAGGTAACCGATACCCAGTCAGCGCTCATCCAAGCTCAAAAACCCACTAAAGCTATGCTTTCTTCCAAGGAAGTCCAAGGAGGGGCCAACCCGGCACACCACAAGGAACAGCAAGAAAGAAAAAGCATGAAAACTGTAAGAGGTGCACTTTAAAGTGGGCAAGAGTCTTGGCATGATGGACAAGATAAAGACAGAAAGCTGTATGGGAAGAGCAAAAAGAGAAAGTTATCTTATGTTTTCAATTAAAAACGGTATGTACCAACACTACCATGTGTCATACATGACTCTTGAATGCAATATGTAACATTCAATATGTGGGCCTTTTCCAAGACCAAGTAGTAATTGTGTCATTTTTTTCTTCAGATGCAGTGCCAATTTGAGGAAATGGTTTGGAGTGCGCTTAAAGGCGTCTATGCTGCAGGAGTGTTTGGAACCAACAAGGTTTGGCTCCGAGCTGCATGTCAACCTCACTTCAAATTATCCTCATTAACGACAATTCCAAGGGGAAACGGCCATTTGTATGTGTGTGATACTCTGGTGTACAGGGCCTGTAATAGTCCTGGATGTACACCAGCATGAAAAGTGGCATTTATTAGTCAGGGTCACAGGTTGTAATGAGCTGAGCAAGGCAGCCAATAGCAGCTCTTTTGGCTCTGATACTGTGGGAGAACCCTGGATTTTTTTACTTGACGTCATACACTAATGAATAGAGAAACACCCCGATTTCACTCCTTTTTCAAATTGTGGGTACATAGAAAAGAGGGAAAAAGAGTTTACCTGTGAAAACATGCAATGCATCTTAAAATAAAATGTATATCAAAAAAATGTATAGAAGATATGCTAATATACTGAAAAGGGTACGGATAAGGATGAAAAAAACACTTAAGGCGTGAATCCTCTGCACTACAACAATGTCTTCATTAATCAAAGAAAATTAATCATGTCTTGAGGGCTGTGCATGAGCCCACATCCCTCTTCAAATGCCCCCCTCTTTCACCCCACAAGCACACACACTCCCTCCTTGAACCTCATGAGAGAGAAAGTGAGACACAATGAAACTTGCACCAAAACTTGGCAGAGCTTCAAGTGAGAGCTCAGTGGTCGACACAAAGCTCATGCTTGACATTAAAAGTTTGCGGCTTGACACTTCTTGGTGGAATACTTTTATTGCAGAATGTTACATCAACACCCCGTATAGGGGAGAGGTGGAATGAAGAGGGAAGCCTCCATGATATCCAAGACAGCGTTCCTCATCCCGTCTCCTTCTATCATTTCCCAAGAGTGTTTACCGCAAACACAAGAGCAACGCTGCCTTAGCTCATTATGGACAGCCAAGCCGCAATATACTGCCAAGTCCTGCCCCACAGCCTGGGCCTAGCTCTGTTGTCTTGGCAACCCAGCATCCAAGAACATGGAGAGGAGGGTTGTGTGTTGGTGCTGGTTGTGATGTGTTAGGGGGGGGGGTTGCATGATGTCATCCTGTGGCATGGAGGGGGCCAATCAAACCCTGAGAAAATTATGTCACCTTTTGTTGAGCCGGTCCATTCAGGGCTATAGAAGTGCAGTGAATTGAAAGCTGCAGAGAGGTCATTTTTCCCCTGAGCTGTGTATGTGTGTGAGAAAAAGCGGGGGAGAAAAAAAAAGTGGGGGGAAGGGGTAGGCAAGCAGGGAAGTCCATTGTGGACATGCTAATGTTGTTGACCATAAGCACGGCCATAAAGATGTCATGAAGCTCAACTTCCAAAACATCAACGCCGGGGCCTTCACACTCCTTTTTTTTTTTTAGATGCCGATGACCTCGTCCCCCACAAATTTGATTCTTAATATGATCCCCATGATGCTTTGAACAACTTGTCAGAACATTGTCAAGCGCCAGAATAAAAGCCTGAGCACACTGCAGTGGAGCCAAACCTGATCCGCTTTGTTTTATTGCTGAGAGAAAGACAACAATAAGCAACCCCTTGAGGAATAATTACCCCCTTAGCAACTCTGCTACTCCGCACTCCTGCACCTATGTCCCGTCCCCTGCAGGGCCTGTAGCCCCCCTGAGCCAGTTCTTATTCAATCACAGCTGAAGCTGACAGTTCAATGGGAAGTTAGTGCTGAATTGTTGAACTCACTTAAACTATTTGAAAACAATAAAATGCATTTCTAGTGTACACTGGAATGTCGACGAGACGCTGTGGATATTTCTATCCACAAAACGGCGAAAACATGAGGTTTGATTCATGTTGACCTGTGACATTTAAACACTTCTCTGTCAACATCATCATATATAACAGACACTCAGCTCAGTAGGTAAACACATTTTCCCTGATGTCATTTTTTAGGAAAACATATGATTAAAATAAATGATTTTAGTTTTTTCACACCACTTCACAATTGACCTACTATTCACACTGGTATTAGTGACATAAAATCATGTGACTCCCAATAACTATATAAAATAATGTCATGTATTTATTTCGACTTTAAACATCAATTTGACTTTGAATAATACAACTCCTGATAGTCTACCGAGTGGCAGATTGGCACATACTGGCCTAACTAGTAATGAAGCCAGCGTGACTAACAGTAAGAACAGACACATAACGAACATCACAAAAGCATCTTATCAGTTATTAATCTCACATAGCTGCAGCTGCAATGACAAAACAAACAGGCACCAGCTTGGATACATTTTCCTTTTTTTTTATTTCTGCAACAGGGTTTTACAGACACAACAAACGTTATGGGGCTATAAATCATCATGAGAATAAACACTTTGACAGGATTATTAATCAATATTAACACAGGCTGCCAATGTGACAAAATTTTTTGGTTTGCATTCATCAGCACCTTGATTACAATAGCCTCTTTGTCATCGCAATTACAAGACATCAAATGATAACGTTACATTTCCAGTGCCAGTAATCATTCTGGAGAATCTTCTCTTCACTAGATAAACCTTGTATGTGACTGCACTGGTGTACGCGCTGTCTCCAGCCTGTTAAATTGGAGCTACAAAATGAAAATATCTGAATCTGATTATTTTCCATTTACAGTTCCAGCACTTGTTGATACTGTATCCAGAATAACACAGTGTATGTCACAACTGCAGTGTATGAGCAACAGTGTGAATAAACGCTGAATATCAAAAGCAGATGTACATTGCAGGAAAATATTAATCCAGGTTCAATTTAGAAAAAGTCAAACAATGTGTAGATCCATTGTGGTTATTCTGGTAAGTGTACATTCATCGAGCTGACTTTCCTATCGAGCAGCTCTCCAGACAGGGTTGACTGATCTGTTCCATAATGTCTGAGCAGCAGAATACACTCCACTGTCCTGCTGAGTTTATGTCACTGCTTCTCCAGGTCCAAGCTGGGTTGGATCCTGAGAGCGAGACTGTCAGTGATGGAGCTCACGCTGTTCGCAGCCATGCCAGGAGCAAACATCTGCTGCAGGGGATGCTGGTCCACAGTCCAAACCAGGATTTAGTATGATCCTAGAAACATAATACAGAAACTAATGATTGACTGAAGCCAAAAACCACTTGAAGCTTGAACATTGACACATGTTTCTCATACCCATGCAAAAGAAAATTAGACGTATTTAATCCTTTCTGGCAACTTTTTTTTAATGTTAAAAGTAACTGCTCGGTGATGTTACTTCAAATAACCAGAGATTCATAGAACACCCAAAACTGATCAATCTGCTCCGCTGATTCATTTAGCAGATTGAAACGGATTTGGCTGCTTTCACAAACTTTCCACACAAAAAAGGGCTTGAGGATTCAAACTGGCAAAAAGAAGTTGCAGATGAACCACCCAGAGCCTTATCCACAGCTGAAATTATCACATTATAAGTAGTGGCAAAGTCCAGCCTGTGTGTTTTACTTCCAGCGATGGGGATACGGATCAACAGGACTTCTCACGGTGCAGCTGGAACGAGCTACTTTTCAGTCCAAAACCAGAACTAAAATGTCACCCTAGTATCACTGCAGGCCAAAACATGATTAAAAAGACATGTCCTATTTCAATGATTAAAGAAATGACATATTACTTTTATCTAGAATATAAGTGAGGAAGAAGATGAGAAAATTGTTTTTATATCCGGAACAGCTGAATGGTTATGTTGTTGTCTTATGAGAGCAGTGCTGATCGGTGTACAACATCTGCTTTCTAACCCCTAACGTCAGAAAATCCCACAATGATGTAATTCAGGTAGGTGGCCTCTTGACAACAACTCTGCTTTACCTGTGCTTGTGCGTACAACCGCCCACACAAAATGACATTATGTTGTCTGCCCCAACACACCATCCACACACTCAGCCCTGCAGTTGTCATGGCAGCAGAGTGGCGGGACCGGCTTGTCCCGCCTGTTCTTTGCCTGGGGTAGGAGCAAATGTGTCAGATAATAAGTAGTCATCCATCAATGTTTCTCATCTTCTTTTTGCCTGTCTGCACCTCTGAGTTGCTTTACCTGCGAGGAGTCACGTTCCACCAGTCTACAGGATGTGGCATCACTCTCGTACCATTTCTTAATCTCCCTCTTCCTTCACCTCTCTCTCCTTCCCCTAGGCCTCACACATCATCAACTTTTTCCAGCTAGCTTCCCCTGGTCTGAGCTACAACCACTCTTTTGCTTTTTGTTAACACTCTATTATCTACCCTCATTTTTTTTTAAGCTTTTTCAACTTCACCACTCAACAGTCACCCTTTTTCTGGATTTTGTCTCTCTCTCCATTTGCCCTGTATTCTGTTTTTTCCCTTCCCACGTTTGTCTCCTATGCCTCACCTTGGAGCAAAGCCCTTGGAGCAGCATCAGCATACAGAACCAGGTCCCAACCTGCCTCTGAGTCTCAGCCTGCCCGTGTATGCCTGTCTGTGCCTGGGGCTGTGACTGAGGCCGGCCCCTATCACCCTCCCTCATCAGCACATCTACTGTACCTGTCTGCTGGCACACTGCCATCCACACACAGAGTTCCCCTACACTTACCCAGAGAAGCTGGTAGAAGGAAAAAAAGAAGATAATGCAAGCCTAAAATCTATAGAAAAAAACTACGCAAGTTGGGGTCAAGCATGTATGACCTCCATTGAGAACACCCACGGCTACCCTGGGAGGCGCACGTATACAGTACCGCTCATTCAGCCTGCTGGCTGCCCCACACAAGCCCATCAACAGGTTTATTTGAAGGCCACCGACTCTGTGGTGGGTCATCAAAGCATATCTTCATTCAGTTCACTGAAAGGATCTGAGGTTCCTGAGAGACGCCGTGTTTGAAGTGATATCTCTGTGCCACTGCATTCTTTACTGTGCTGTCATGACTTGAGTTACACAATAAAAAACGAAAGAACATGGGCATTAAGCCAGTGCCACCTCCCTTATCATGTCTCACATACATGTGAACTATTGCAGTGGTTCACAACCTTTTTCCTTAAGGGACCCTCATTCTATCATTAACTGAGTAAAGTGACAATCTCTGACTCATATTATATTCAATGCATAACAATTGCAGTACAGAACAACTGATAAACTGAACAATGAACCCAAATATTGCACAATATATAATGCAATAACTGAACAATTATTTCTAGTCAATACTGTATCAGAGATCGGCGCCCGGTTAGCTCAGTGGGTAGAGCTGGCAACCCATGTACCGAGGCTGAGTCCTTGCTGCAGCGGCCCAGGGTTCGAATCCGACCTGCGGCCCTTTGCTGCATGTCATCCCCTCTCT